CTAGGTGCAAAATATTATTCCTTCCTTCTTGCATCCATGAAGTGCCCCGCTGAACCACCAGCGGTCGATTTCACAGTCGCATTCGAGCGCGTTCACATCGCATAAGAACTGCGTAAAGCGCACTCTATCCATCTCTACACGTCAGACTTACCATTGGAAACACGTCGTCGGTTCAATTTGTCGAGCAGCATAGCTGTAGATTGTCGCATTCGCGGCCGCTTGATTATTCACACCTCCCGCCACATTTCACAATAGCTCTGCCTCAGTGAGGTTCCGTTCACAATGGGGAAGCTGATCCGTTTGGAGTTGTTCAGTGAGTAGGACACCAACAGGTCCTTGCTCGATATCAGCACCGCTAACCAAGGGACTACGTAGACTTCAAGTCCTACAAGGGCCACCACACACTGCTCTTTGGCGATTCCTACTTCACCTCGATCATTGGACCCAATGGATCTGGCAAGTCGAATTCGTGAGTTGAGAATTGGCTCCGTAGGCCTGCGTTATACTGACCAATGCTTCCTCAGCATGGATGCGATTTCCTTCGTTCTGGGTATAAAGTCATCCCATTTGCGCTCAGCCCACCTTAAGGATCTCGTCTATCGCGGCCGCGTACTCAAAACATCAAAAATCAACGATGATGGTTCAGCCAACACGGATAACCAAGCCAATGGGTCCGCGAACGGAGATGATAAGGCTTCTCGTGGCGATCCCAAGACAGCATGGGTCATGGCTGTATATGAAGATGAGGCTGGCGAGGAGCAACGATGGAAGCGATCCATCACGAACCAGGGCGCCAGCGAATATCGTATCAACGATCGCGTTGTGACTGCTCAGCAATATAACGAGGGTCTCGAGAAGGAAAACATTTTGATCAAAGCTCGAAACTTCCTTGTCTTCCAGGGCGACGTCGAAGCCATTGCGTCCCAATCTCCCCAGGATCTTACGCGATTGGTCGAGCAGATTTCCGGAAGTTTAGAATATAAGAGCGAGTATGAGAGGCTTCAGGCATTGGCGGACGAGGCCGCTGAGAACCAGAACTTTCAACTCCATCGCCGCCGTGGTATCAACTCCGAGATCAAACAGTACCGGGAACAGAAAAAGGAAGCCGATAACTTTCAAAAGAAGATGGACGAGAAGGATGCCGCCATTGTCACCCAGACACTCTGGAAGCTTTACCACTTTCAGAAAGCGATGGACGAATCCCGAGCCGCAATCCAGAATCACCAGGAAGAGCTAAAAGACATGAAGCGGACCGTGGAGACGTTCGAAAAGAAGCTTGAAGTTGCTCGCAAGGATGAACACTCTGCAAAACGTCAAGTCTCACAGCTCGAAAGGGATATCAAGACCAAGGAACGGAGCATTGAAGAGAAGGAAAGAGATATTATCCCCTTTGATGAGAAGATCGCCCAAACAACCACCAAACTCGACCATTTGCGTCATCAAGCTGACAAAATTGGGAAAGAAAGAGATGAACAGGAAACCACTGTGCAGAAAGTCAAGAAGGATATTGATAGTGTTGAGAAGGCCAAGGAGGTCTTTGAGAACGATATCAAGGAGCAGATGCGAAAACAAGGCCGTGCAATCAGCGACGAGGATCGTCAGGAGTACAATGCTCTTAGATCCCAGGTTATGGCCCAGACTGCTTCTAACCAATTTGATCTGGAACATCTGGACCGCCAGCGGAAAGCTGACGAGGTCACTGTGAACAATCTCAAGGGCAAAGTCGAGGCGATCGATGCAGCCATAGAGAAGAACAACACGGAACTCGAATCGATCGTCGAGAGGAAAGAATCAGCCCAAGGCATTGCTACCGAACTCACTGCCAATATTTCCTCCACAAAGAAAGAGTTCAATCGTCTTCAATCAGAACGGGTTCAGTCGAATCAGAAGCGAACCGAGCTCGAAGAAAAGCTTGAAGATGTTGCAAGAAAGCTCCGAGAAGCGGATGACGGTCGAAGACAGAGTGATAAGGAGACTAGGATCAAAGAGATGGTTGCATCTCTAAAGCGCATTTTCCCCGGAATCCATGGTCGGGTCGGCGATCTATGCAAACCCAAGCAAAAGAAATACGAGGAAGCTGTGCTGGTCGCTCTCGGTCGAAACTTTGATTCGGTTGTCGTCGACACGGAAAAGGTTGGAAGCGATTGTATTGGCTATCTCAGAGAACAGAGATTTTCAACAATGAGCTTCATTCCTCTGGACAATATCAAAGTACCTGCCGTGAACACGGCTATCAAGAGCTTCTCCGGTGCACGACTGACAATCGATACTATTAATTTCGACTCATCCCTGGAGCGCGCCATTGCATATGCCTGTGGAAATTCAGTTGTGTGTGACACGTTGGAAATTGCGAAACACATCTGCTATGAGAAGAGGACACCAGTCGAGGCCGTCACACTGGACGGTTTTGTGATTCACGAGAGCGGTACCATGACGGGTGGTCGCGGGCCAGAATCTAAGAGCGGCAAGCGGCGGTTTGAGGAGGCTGATCTCCAAAATCTCCAGCGCATTGCAAACAAGCTCACGGAAGACATCGAGAGACTGCCAAAGTCAGACAGGCGAAGCAACCAAGAAGAAAGCCTGCAGACCCAGCTCAGTGGTTTGGAGAGGCGTCTTGCAGCTGTTAAGGAAGAGCTCGCCGCTTTTAATAAAAACGAGCATAGTAAGAAACGCGAGATCGAGAACCAAAAGAGAGAGCTGAGGGAGATCCGACCAAAGTATGAGGAGAAGGTCGCCCAATTGGGCAAGATCTCAAAGAGTGTTCAAAAATACAGAGATGCCATTGCTCGTGTCGAGGATCAGGTTTTCGCAGACTTCTGTTCCCGTCTGGGATACAGTGATATCCGCGCTTACGATGCCTCCCAAGGCAAGTTTGAGCAGGAAGTCTCTGAGAAGCGATCTGAGTACTCAGTCCAAAAACAAAGGCTCGAGAGCCGGCTTAATTGGGAGGTGACTCGCCACAAAGAGACTGAAGCCCGTATCAAGAAAATACAGGACCAAATCAAGTCCCTGAAACGGGATATCAAATCATATACGTCACACAAGGAAGAGATCGTGGACCAGTTGGCTCAAGAACAGGCCGAATTGGAAGCTCTTCGCGAAACACTCGAGGAGTACCAAGCCGAATTGCAAGAACGAAGCCAAAAGGTCAGCGAGGCCAAGGCCGAGTTACAAAAACGCAGTCGGGGTATTGATAGCCGCCTCAAAGAGATCACAGCACTCGAGTCCGAGGTCCAGAAAAACAATTCAAGCAAATCTGCTCTGCTGCGAAGGTGTCGTCTGGAACAGATTCAGATCCCACTTGCCGAAGGAAGTTTAGAGAACTTGCCCAATGAGGACGATATCATTCGCCAAGATCCAGATGCGATGGACATTGACGAGCAGGATGACGAGGATCTGCTTGAAGCTGTGGTGGAGGACCACGGAATTGAAATTGACTTCTCCGGTCTAGACGAAGAGCTCAAAGAGGTAAGTCACCACTGATTATCCCGATCCCCTAGGCCATATTTTTGCATGGCATGGGCTTTTAGAGATTACAAACTAACTCTGGTTCAGTCTGATGCTTCCGAGGTCGAAGACTCCCTCACCGAGAAGATCACGTCTCTCACCATGGAGCTCGAAAAGCTCAACCCCAATATGCGCGCGATGGAACGTCTGGAAAGCGTTGAAACACGGCTTAAGCAAACTGACCAAGACTACGAAGATTCCAAACTTGCAGCGCAAAAGGCCAAAGATGAATTTAAGGACGTCAAAGATAAACGGTACGAGTTGTTCAACAAGGCCTTCTCGCACATCCAGGAACAGATCACCCATGTCTACAAGGACCTCACAAGGTCCGAGGCCTATCCTCTGGGTGGCCAAGCATACTTGGATATTGAGGAAGACACGGACATGCCGTATCTCTCCGGTATCAAATATCATGCCATGCCACCGTTGAAGCGATTCCGTGATATGGAGCATTTGTCGGGAGGTGAGAAGACAATGGCAGCACTTGCCTTGCTTTTCGCCATCCACAGCTACCAACCCAGCCCCTTTTTCGTGCTGGATGAAGTGGATGCTGCATTGGACAATGCTAACGTGGATAAAATTAAAAAATACATCCGAGAACACTCGGGCCCCGGTATGCAATTTATCGTCATCAGTTTGAAGGCCGGACTGTTCCAGGATAGCGAGAGTTTGGTTGGAGTTTACCGAGACCAGGAGGTAAACAGCTCAAGAACCCTGACTCTTGATGTAAGTTGACTTGACCCATTACTCACCCTGGAAATCCATATACGAGAACACTGCTGACTGTTTGAAATAGCTGAGAAAGTATGCATAATTAGAGAATATTAGCATAGCAACGTGACGAGCCAGCTCATCATGGCCATGCACTAGAAATGGGACACCCTCTCCAATCTGTGGGTTCGGTATTAGAGGAAGAGAGTTTGACTGGGCTATTCCGTTGAATCATCCGAGATTGGGTGGCAATCGTGATGCCAATACTCAGTCTCATTACTGGCACCTATACACTGCTACATGCCTATCATTACGTATGTGAAGGAAGGGTGGATGGGTTACATAAGGCGTAACATAGTTATTCTAGTTGTCTTTTCAACATGTGTCAATACACCACTTGACTATTCAGCAAAGTATAAACTTACGGGCCTGAGATTACATAACTAAATGACGGCTAACTTGTGCAAACTGAGAACTGGAAAACGTCATGGGCATAGGTAAATAACACTAGCGGTTGGAAGTATTCCTCATTACTCGTTCTTCTCCAATCTCTCGATGTATCGAATTCCAAGCTCAGGTCTGTCCCGGCTCAAGGGCCTGCTCTCCTAAGAACATGACGATAGCAAGTGTACTTCGGCAGCGGCATCCTCCTAAATGGAACCAGTCCGTGCGGACACATCTTGACCTGACTGGCCCTTGAGATTGAGTTGGATAGTCCACCATTCCATAGCGGCTCAAACCTGCGCGTGTCTTCTCCATAGATGAAGAGATCCGATCTGTTTCTACAAAGTTGTATAGAAACGTAGGTACAAGCCGATGACCCCGACGCAGAAGAGAGTTTTATGATGATGCAGGATGGAGAGGGAAGTGAAGACTGGAGTCCACATCGCCGCATCTCTCGATCGAAAGGTAAGCGGGGAGCCGGCCCTGAAGAGACTTCCCATATTATACGGGACCAAGCCTGAGGAATGTAGAAATGGGTCGTTATGCTCCCGCATATGTGAGTGTATAGCGTAGTATTGGCAAGTTGTTCATGCCCACCCCAAAGTTGCAGGTGAGGGATGCCGGGGCCCAGAGCGCGGTATATGGGCATAGGAACGTCAGCGCCAGACCGTAAGAGAATCTCAATCGCGTTGAGACCATATTCTGTGGTATCATGTATGGCATCGTTTCTTTTGTTGAAGTTCTTATTTGACCTTTCGTCGTATGATTCCAAGGGCCTCTTGCCTGTCCAGTTTAAAATCTCTTTGAGCCTATCGCGGCTTAGGTTGTTAAGCATCTTGTTGAAACCGTCTTCAGAATCTTCTTCAAATTGTTGCTTAAAGTGGTCATTGGTTTTATCCACGGAGGAGAATTTCCTATCGGAACCCTCGCCAGTTGGCGACCAGGGTTTGAAGCGAGCTTTAATATTAGACGTGATACAGGACTCCTCATCTCTCACCTCTTCCCCTCTGACAGCTGCAATTAAGGCGTTATCAAAGGACCCATGCAACCGAGCGTTTGGATTAACTCCCAGTTCTGGAGATAATAAGAAATCACAAAATTGGATGTTACCATGAAGTGCCGCAGTTGCTAGTGCGCTGCCAGGACCTTCTTTGAATGTAAGTTTAGGATCAGCCCCCAGCTCGATCAAACGCCGCCAAAGTGTCTCAGAGGAAGCATCAACTGCCGCAATGCAGAGGCTGTTTGAGAAGCCATTGTTGTAATTAGGATCGGCGCCTGCATCTAATAGAATACGCGCTGTGGTTTCCGAGTCATGATGAGTATGGTGTCCATGGCCAAGAGCGGCGGTAAGAGGGGAGAGCCTCATGGTGCCAAGATTGGGATCAGCTCCCGCCCTTAGCAGGGTTTCGATCTGATCTGGCCTGTCGTTCATCACAGCTGCAATCAGAGCCGTAAGTCCTGAGATTCTGGACGCAAAATTGACATTGGCACCAGCACACAGGAGAGCTTCTAGACAGTGGATTTTGAAAATATAGCAAGTTGCCTCGATGAGCGGGCTCGTCTCCTGGTCGTGGATGTTGGGGTTGGCACCTTTGCTTAGTAGGAGCTGAATGGCTCTAAGGTCTCCATGTCGAGCTGCACCGATCAGAGCAGTTTGACCATTTTTGATTGAGTTAACATCTGCCCCCAATTCTACCAGCCTTTCAATAGCTTCGAAAGAGCCGGAAATTGAAACGGTGATTAAAGCAGTCAAGTGCTCATCAGAGCAAGCATTTACATCAGCACCCGCATCAATGCACTTCTCAATCCAATCGACCATGTTGTTCCGAGCAGCGCCCACCAAAGCAAAGCTCGGATTTCCAAGCCTGGCTCCATGCTGTAGTAGAAGTGGAATCATGATCTTGCGTCCTCTCCGAATTGCAATATCAAGTGCTGTGGAGCCGGCAAGATTTTTGAGATTGACATCTCCCTGATGGTCTAGGACCAGTCGCACAATGGATGTATGTCCTTCTGATACGGCGACTTGCATCGGGGTTTGGCCTTCTTTTACCCCTCCATATACCTTATTAATTTCAGCACCTGCTTCGATCAAGACCCGGACCGTAGCTTTGTGGCCGTTTTCGCAGGCTGTCATCAGAGGATTATGGCTTCCCCTCTTGATATCCGCGCCCTTGCGAAGAAGAAAACGGCACAGCTCATCATGGCCTCTGTTGGCTGCCAGAAAAAGGAGTGATTGATTATCTTCATCGCATGAGTTTATATCGATTTTGGGATTGTTCTTACACCATTCTTCGAGGACCCAGATCAGCCCTGAATCGCAAATGGCCCAGAGGGCTGATGAAGATGATGACCAATCTGCCCGTAAAAAAGCAGTTTTGGTCGCCCAAGTTCGGTATTCTCTGCTGCTCGTATGTGGGGAGCCCAAAAATCGAAATAGGAGCTGGCAAAGCAGTGCGTCCTGGGCAATTTCTTGTCGTTGCATAAACTTGGGCCAATCTCGGCTAATCAAATAGTCAAGATGAAAATTCCACCTAGCCTGGCAATGACACATTGCAAGAAGATATTTGATACAAGCCACCGCCGTCTTCCTATATGGCTGAAGCTGATCGACCAGCCGGTTTTCGATGTATTCTGTAGCAGACAGGTGGCAAAATTGCCATTTACCCGCCTCTTTCTCCAGCTTTAATAGATTGCAACACAAGGAAAGTATGTCCTTCTCCATGAGCGTCTCATGGAAATCAAACAACCTGTCACAGCTATTGCTCTCAATTTTGATAGCGATTGAGAGCTCTTTTGTTGATAACGGATGAGGAGAACATAGAACCCAACATATGGCGCGTTGGGCCAACCGGGTTTCTATGCCGCCTTTGAGGAGAATCATCTGCCAGATCTCATCATAGGCCTTTTCAAGAGTTTTGGGGAGTTTTCCGAGACGGTCCTCGATGAGGCTCTCGCTCCAGAAAGTCAATTGTATAAGGTGCTGTACCTGTAGAGCTGCCCATTGAAACATTCCTTGACTCATGCGGTGTAAGGTTGATATGATTTTGTCCTTGAGTTTTGGTTTTAAGCTGTCCCACCTTTGGTCCCGAGCAAGCTCCTCCTTGACAAACGATTCAATATCATGTTGATTATTGATTGCTTGAATCTCAATGATTGGTTGTGACTCAAAATGCCTGGTGATATCTGCATCTTTTCGGCTGGATATGAATATTTTCAAATTTGACTGGCGGTCTATTAACTGGCTGAGACAATCCATTAGGTGGTTTCTTTTGTCCATGTTGCACTCATCCAGTGCATCCAGAATGATAGTCGTGTCCCTGTAAGATGAGACCAGTTTTGCTAGAATGTTCTGGCATAAGCTAACGCTGAAAGTCAAAGCTTGTGCCTCCATGTTTTGGGCCAAGGTCTGAACCTCTTGATGGATCTCTCCCAACCGCTGGAAGGGAGATGAGAGCTGACGAACTAAACTCCGGAGTATGGGCACTGGCTGACTTCGGTCTTCCTCATCCCTTTTGCAGTAAAAATATGCAAAGCCTTCTAACTTCGACGATTGCTCAACATGATCAATAACTCGAGAAGTCAAGAATGTCTTCCCAGCGCCAGCTAGGTTCTTTTTATCAGCAATAGTCTCTAATTTTCACTACTTCGAAATTAAACACATACGTGCGCCATATAACAGTGTGATGGTTGAGGTCTCCGAGGCTTGCCACTGTTGGAATTCTTCGGCCTGTAGAATCCACTCCCCAGTACCCGTAGTTCTCCTTTCTTGGATGTCGATGTGGTGACCTCGGTAAGGGGTAGCAGAAATCCTTTTCAGGATCTCGATGCGCTCCTGATTCTGCATTTTAATGAGGATTTTGTCGAGAGTTGAAAATACGCCGGGAAGATGGCGTTGAATCTCGTCCGAGATTTGGAGGATTCGCAAGCTATCACACTTTTGCGCTTGTTCTTTGAGCTTCACCCATCGATTATGAAGCTGTTCTGATGCCTTCTTGGCATCCTCCGGTTTTAACAAAGCGCTTCCCACCCGGAGAATAGTGTGTTTCTGCATTTGCGAGCAGCAGAATGTTAAGCCATCTAGTATGGCGACATACAATTCCACAGTATCGCTTCGCAAGTCATCTAGAGGCTCTTGGCCAATGGGGCCTTGTAACCGGGAGCTGGCCCCAAGATACAGGTTCTCAAAAACTCTGCCATGGTGCACCAGACGCGCTGCGTCTTCCATGATGGCTACGATATATCCCATCTGCTCTCGTTCCGTGATGAAGGACTGCAAAATTAGTGGCCATGATCAGCAGGGCGATCTCAAGAATACGATAAAATCATCACTGAAGTTAGGAGTGAGGGCTGCCATCTGGTGTCTAGTTGGGGATATCTCACCTGGAGGATGAAGCGGAAGGCGGCCCATGGAAGCGCGGCATGGACTGGGTCAACATTCATGGCCATATCACCAAAGGCCTTGAATTTATCCAACCAGTCAACCATCCTAGAGAATGCATGTCGCACATTGACTTGACGAGAGCCTATTTTGACTACCCACTGTTTCGACTCACATTGTGCTTGCTTCGCTTTCGAGAGTGTAATGACGCTGTCAATCTCAGCAGATGAGCTGCCCGATGTAGGATTGGTTTTTTGGATGCTATTGAGGGCCTCTTGGGTTTTCGGGGGCAATTTGGCAAAGGCTTTTTGCCAACAGCTGACAGCCGACTGGGCCATGGTCACAGAATAACCTGCCACGCCGTTTTGGGTCTTGAAAGACGGAACAAGAGGAAGATGTAGGAAGAACACGAAATAAGGCTGGAGATACAGTTGGGCTCCAGCTGCAGTGCGGCATGGTTACAATGTGACGCAGCCACATGCATGCTTATTGAAGTTGGGTGCATGTAGTTCCGCCAATCAGTATTGGAAGATGGCATATGCGCCCTTGGCAAAAATTGTCGGCATCTATAGAGCCAGACACGAATAGGATGATCCCCTTGACGCTAAAGCTAGCGAAAGCGAGGAGTGGAAGGTGAAGTTATCTAAACGCGGGCCATCATTGTCGCGTTCTGTGAGAGTACCTACTCCTAGGTTTATATATTGTCGTTATAGAGCAATGTAATTGAGGGCCGGAGACAGGTGCTCAGAAAATGATCAATACCTATCATCCCACATATCTTCTTGATCACTCGAAGATATATCCATTGACTAAAGGACTTCGGCCGTTAGAACAAAGCCTCACTTCGCACCTACCCAAGTGCACGGGTGACACCTAATGCGGGCGTGGTAATACCTAGGTAGATAGACTACTTGTCGTGATGTATAGAGAAATTCAGTAGTACAGAAAGAAACCAAAGCAATGATAAATACCGTGTTATTCCTGAGGACTATATTATTAGCACTTGATAATCTGATAATACCGCTCGCAGACTTGAAAATAAGCAGCTTAATGTTTGAGTGTCTCAACTTCATCGTCACCCATAAGTACTAAGTATAGCAGGTTCCACAGTGCAGTTGTAAGGCTACAACGTGACCACCTGACCAATGAGGATGCATGAGGTAAGGTGCGCCAGCCACAAGGCACCAGTAGAATTGCCGTCGCATACAAGACTCCCCAGACTTTTCTCACCAAGCCATCCCATCTTTCTTATTCCAATTCCATACACCGGCCCTGTCTCTTGCGACACCTTCGACCCGCGCATCTGGGAGACCTATTTCGACGGAGGAAGAGCGGAAGAACACATCGATGTGGGGATACGCTGGCTAGGGAGCTGACCTGGGGGTCTCTCGAAGCGACTGGGCGAGCCCGTGCAAAGCAAACCTCACATCGCCATCACCTCACCCCGAGTCGTTGGGTTGGACAATACCCATTCACTGATATCGCATTCGCTTTGTTTCCCCTCGCACGGCTACTCTAGGCGCACTTATTGAGCCACCTTAGCGCGAGCTAGAACTAACCTCTCTTCGAGGCTGGATTTCATCGATATCGCAACACCAACATTCTCGATCGCAACAGCCTGGACGCAGAATTGACACCCAAAGGAGCTACTTGGACGCTTCTGCCCCTGAAATATTCCACATTTATCTAAATTGCCGGCTCGTTCCGCTCGGTTTACCTTACATTGCAATATTTCACACTCTTTAATCATCAGCTCTTTTCGCTCCGCTGCCCATCATGGATCTCGCAGTTACTTTGATCAAGTCAGTCATGCGGGCCTTCTACACGACTCGCGACATTTTAGTCATTGACGCCCTCATTCTCCACGAAACGTGAGCAGTATGTGCCTCCCCAGCTGGTGTCATCTGCTAACATTGTGCACAAGCCTTCGAGATGACGATCTTGCGTATCTCATGTCCATAAACACAAAAGACCTGCACAAAATCTGTGGGAAACTCAGAGAGGATAGGTTCCTTACAGTGTAGGCTCGAATTGCCCTTAATCCTCGCGTACATGCCAGACTCTGATATTTCGCAGACATACCAGACCCGAAAAGCGACCCGACAACCCGCGACCCAGCAACAGAACGTATTACTACATCAACTATCGCCAGACAATCGACGCTATTAAATGGCGAGTGTACACGATCGACAAGGAAGTGCAAGGCACTACGGTCCAGACCAGCGAAATGAAGGAGTACTTCTGCAACTTCTGTAAGGCAGAGTGGACTACGATGGAAGTTCTCGACAACAATAGCGCGGCGGGTTTCTTATGTCACAGGTGTGGCCACGTCCTGACCTTTGAGGCAGACAGAAACGCTGGAGGACACGAGCAATCCACGAGGCTCAATGACCAGTTCAAGTTCATCACCGAGCAGCTTCGCCAAATCGACCAGGTGCACATCCCCGAGTGCGATTTCGAACGAGCGCTTGCAAAACAACGCCCCGTGGAGCGTGATGCCACCCACCAACGCGTGGCGACTATTGCAATGGATGATGGCGCGCACCGGCCAATGGATGTCAAGGGTCTATCAAACCTCGGCCCTCAGTCGATAGCTGTGAACATCTCAACCTCAGAGGGTGCGACTGATGCCGAGAAGGAGGCCGAGAGGGCCCGCAAGGAGCGGATTGCCAAGCAGAACGCCCTTCCCTCGTGGATGTCGGCCAGTACTGTCAGCGGTGAATCATTTGGTGGAAACTCTTCACTCGCTGTGCCTACCCTTGATCGCAAGAAGGATAACCCCAAGGATGCATCGCAGGTCAAGGGTCCCGAAGTCAGCGACAGCTCTAAGATTGACGATATTTTCGAAAAGCTGAAGGCTGAGCAACTGGCAGCAGCTGCGACAGGTGGTGACGAGTCTGGGTCCGAGGAGGATGAGGACGAATTCGAAGATATTCCCGTAAGCACACCTATCATCAAGAAGGAGCCCTCGGATGGCTCCGACTCGCCACAAGCCAAGCGGGTCAAGATTGAGCCGGGCATCAAAGAGGAGCCGATGAAGGATGCGGGGGAGCCCAGCGACGAGGATGACGACGAAGAACTAGAATTCGAGGACATTTGAGACTGGTGAATACAACAATCAGTTGCGAGCATTTGAATTTTTTAAAAATAGACGGAGTTACTCAAGGGCTAGCCCCGGTTGCGATGACCGGTTTAGATTAAAGAACAGCAAAGATACCAAATATAAATCAATTAAGGAAACCGTTCGTTGCCGTTGATAACTGTACGCCACAAACCGCTCGTAGCTTCAGACTATCGAGGGCCAAGGAAGATGCCGAACTTTAATCGTGGGGCAAACCGGTAGAGCATTTTCCGCAATATGGCATTGATGGAAATATCCGTTATGTTGATGGAAATGCACACTCTCTGCTAACCTGCTTTTGTTGGTTGTAGGTGTGTCACGATTACATATGAATTCGAGGTAGAACGCCATCGTACCCACCAATCACATCCGATCGTTCTCTCTCCCTTAGTGTTGCTGAGGGTCATTGATGTCTCATCCAAGCTGCATTGGGGATTTATCCATGCAGGGCGATCTCGATGAACTTGAACTGCAGAGTGTGATGCCACCACGGCCTTCTCAGTAGTATCTGCAATCTGCTCTCCCTAACCATAACTCAAGCGCTCACTATTGCTACCTTGGTTATACTAGTCTCAACTATGTCCATCTCTGCTCGCCAGCCTCATTCTGCTCAACAATATGACATTCGAAATACCACCCACCTATCTTCTCTCAACCAATCTGGAGACTGATCAATTGCAGCAACTTGAGGGGCAGATTCCGTCCCTAACGCGGGACATCAATGACGCTCACATCGTTTTGGGGAAGATATCGCGGCGGGAACGAGCTTTGTTCGAGCTCAGACGACTGAAACTCCCAACAGAGGAGATTCTAGTAATTAGCGAGCAGGCTGGAGATGATGACGAGAGAGAGAAGGATGGTTCGCCGCGACTTAAGCGACAAAGATTCTCTAGCCCTTCATCCGGGAACGCTGAAGTAAACTTGAGCAAAGATCAAGGCGGCGGCATCTCTACATCAAACGACACAATCATGGTCGTCAAATTGGCATGGTGGTTGGAATCACAGGAACGGGGATCCTTGCTGCCCATTGAGGACTACATCCTATACAGAGGTAGAAAGCTACCAGCGGCGCAGACCAGCAGCCCAATCTCTGTTAAAAGCATGAATACCGACAGGGTACTGAGCTCTCCTGTTGGAAAGAGCAGTTCATCCAAACTCCCAGGGACTGGCCAGCAATTCGGCTCGCACCGCCATCGCCCTGTCACGTCTCAACCGCCACCGCTCCCCCGTGAGACAACATCCGAACACGATGTGGACTTGCCGCCTATCCCAGATTTCCTGCACACCACTTATTCCTGCCAGCGGCCAACCCCCGGTAACCCGCCTAACACGGGATTCATCAAGGAGCTGAAAGAGGTGCGCACGCTGCGGCTCCTCCAGGGAGACCAGATTGGCGTGAGGGCATACTCTTCTAGTATCGCTGCGTTGTCAGCGTGTCCGCATCTTCTACAAACTGCGACTGGTTCGTCCTCTTCTCCCTCTTCAGCTTAGGAGTTCGCCCTAAGATATTGCTTAACATATCCATCTAACTTGTGAGCAATGGTAGAAGTCGCGAAGCTGCCTGGGTGCGGTGCTAAGATCGCCGAGCTATACCAGCAGTGGAAAGACAGAGAAACTCTACAGGAGATCGAAGAAAGCAGATCAAACGATAAGCTACGTGTGCTCAAGCTGTTCTACGATATTTGGGGCGTGGGGGACACAACGGCACGGGATTTCTACAACAAAGGTACGTGAGACCACTACTGTTAAGCAGGAAATTTCTATATGCAGTTCACTGATGTTAGTCAAGGCTGGAGGGACCTGGACGACATCGTCGAGTACGGGTGGGACACCCTCAGCCGCGTCCAGCAGATCGGGGTCAAATACTACGACGAGCTCCAGCAGAAGATTCCGCGGGTCGAGGTCGAGGCCATCGGCGAGGTCATCCTCGCCCACGCCCGGGACATCGACGCCGGGTTCCAGATGGCCATCGTCGGCGGGTACCGGCGCGGCAGCACGGAGAGCGGGGACGTGGACGTGATACTGAGCCACGCCGACGCGGCGGCGACGCTGCACTTCATAAGCAAGATCCTCGTCCGGCTCGAGCAGTCCGGCCACGTCACGCACACGCTCACGCTGTCGACGAGGAACAGCGAGCGAGGGCAGGCGCCGCTGCCGTGGAGAGGCGAGGGCCGCAAGGGGTCCGGCTTCGACACGCTGGACAAGGCCATGGTCGTGTGGCGGGACCCGAAGGGAGGCGAGGCCGCTCTGCACCGACGGGTCGACATCATCGTGAGCCCGTGGAGGACGGCCGGGTGCGCGATGCTGGGCTGGAGCGGGGGCACGACCTTTGAGCGCGACCTGCGCCGGTACTGCAAGGCCGAGCTGGGGCTCAAGTTTGACTCGAGCGGGATCCGCAGCCGCCGGGATGGGAGCTGGGTGGACCTTGAAGGGGACGGGTCAGCCCCGGACATGGAGGTGGCCGAGAGGAGAGTCTTTGAAGGGCTAAAGCTGCCTTGGCGACGGCCCGAGGAGAGATGCACTGGATGATGTGCCGTTTGCATTGGTGGTTGAGTAGCCAATGCAGGGGAGAGAAGGAGAGCCAACGAGAAAATCATGATTTGAAAGTCCGCAAGTCCGTTGCAGGATCCCCACACAATACGACTCAGCTGCTGCAGGAATTGGGACCGATTGAAACCCCGGACGGGCTACAAATCCCCCCGAACAGAATCTGCACCTCGGGGTTCGGACAGATATGAATCAGCTCTCTGGTCTGAACACGTTTGAGCTCCGTTGATTTGGTAGCATTCATGCACATGGGAAGCACCCAGACAGCCATCCTCCTGGCAATACTCCGCCAACCTGACAAATGCCATTAGGCAGATGCGCTGGGCAAGGTAGCATCGCTTCATCATCATCACGATACCCATCTCGTGTCCTGGCCTGGCATCTTTCCTGGGATGTCACTCCCAGCCGAGTTTATCCAGGAAATGCGGAGCAGGTGCCTGGCGCTAGCAGCTTCTAGAGGATGAACTCCGCCTGCCCTAAATCGCTACATGACATGTCTTGCATCTTGGCAAAAGGGGCTTCGAGACGCGGCAATATTGAGTAGTAGCGTAGGTAGCGTAGCTATATAGGACACCTCGCCTGGTTTCGCCCCAATTAGCCAGAAGCCATCTTCACCAACGTCTTCCTGCCTTTCAACAGCCCAAAGTCTTCTCAGCCAACACTCTTTCGTCCCAAAAGCAACTTTCTAACTCAACTTCACAACTCTGCAATATGCCTGTCACAATCGATATTAACGAGCAGTTTGGGTACGTAGTTATAACACATCGCTGTACACTGCTATACACAAATACTAATATACATGTCGCGTAGCTTGGTCCTCGCTGTGGCCAGCTCAAGCTTCTTGGTGAACGTCATGCACATGCTCACCACCTCCAGATTCCGCAAGGCTAGCGGGGTTGCTTACCCCCAGTCCTATGCCTCTGAGGAGGAAGCTGCCAAGAACAAGGCCGCCTACAAGTTCAACTGCGGTACGTCATCCAGCTGGGTTTCGAGCAGATGACCAGCTATCCAATTCTGCTGCATGGCTTCAAAACTGACCCGTGGATCTCTCCTGTAGCCCAGCGCGCCCACGCCAACTTCACTGAGAATCACACCTCGTTCTTGGGCGCCCTGCTTATCTCGGGTCTCCGATTCCCGCTTGTTTCCGCTGGACTGGGCGCTGCTTGGGTCTTCGGCCGTGTCGTCTACCTCCTTGGCTACACCAGTGACAAGGGCCCCAAGGGAAGAACGACGTATGTTCCCCATTCCCATCGCCGCCAAAGTCCCCCGCTTTTGAAGCAACATCGACTGACCAAGTTCTTGCAGTGGTTCCCTTTTCGCCTCTCCTGCCGACTTTGCGCTTAAGCTCATGGCCGTTTACACTGGTGTCCAGTTTGCATTGGGCCAGTAAAGAAGCTGAGAAGAAATCAAGCGTACTAAAAATAAAAGCGCACGTCAAGTTGTAGTGTTAGCGACAATAATCAAGTCCTGTAATCCGTGACCATATGTTCATTATTTTGTTGGTGCTTTGGTCATCTCCGGAAATTGCGGCGCCTTAACTCCATATTAGATGCCACATTGGTAGCATCGTCCCCATTCCCGCTCTCCTCGTTGAGTAATTTCTCAATTCCGTTGTTGCCGAGAAGATAGTCGCCAAAGTACTTCATCGCGCTGAAAATCTCTTCGCCAGTTGGCACAATGTGCTCCCTTGGCAAGAGAAAGCCGTAGCTGCCGGTATCTCGAAGCTTGATCTGGTAGCTGAAATGGGCCTTCATCTCATGATAGAACCAGTCAATGGCAGAACCCCCACCGGACTCAATCCGCTGCTCAAAGTCTGTCTTGCCGTCCTTTTCATCCGAGACTGCCCCTTCACAAGCAGAAGCGACAGAGTACGACTCTCCACTTGCAAGTCGGATCGACTTGGCGATTCCAGCAGCAAGTTCGGTAAGGTTCTCGATATTTGGAGGCTCGATAGCGCAACTGTAGGCGTAAGGGAAGAGAACCTGCTGGGAGTAGGAGTGCAGGTCAATGAAACTGACAAAATTGACATTGTGCAAAGTCTGGTTTCTTGCCCAGTGCGCCAGTTTCTCAGCTTCGACTGCCTGGAAAGGCTGTTCGCCCCCGTAGCTCTCTGAGCAAGGGTCAGTTTGGTGTCGAGCACTATCCCATTCGTAGCCAAAGGCATGGTCCAGATCCATGCCCCGGCAGTACCGCAGTCCGGTCTGCTGCCTCGACTTTCGCCAAAGACGGTCAACGTTCCACGTGTATTCGAAACCATCTGGGTTGACCACGGGGATAAACACAATGTCGAACTCAACCAACAATTTGGTGATCATGGGCTCCTTGCCAAATGACGTGATGAAGGACCAAGCAAGGTAGTTGACGGTGCTCGTCGATATCCACTCACGGCCATGAAGACCTCCTGTGATCACAATTGTCTTGCGGGGTGATGAGTTGCTTGACTGGCCCGAAACACCGACTCGGAGGGCAGGGATATCTCTCCCTTCCCAAGACTGACCGATTTTGGTATATTCCACAAATGCCGGGAACATGACTTCGAGCAGCTGCATCCATCGGATAATGACCGATAGAGACCGGTAGTCTTGGAAGAAGACATTGTCGCCGGCTCCTGGTCGCACGGATAAGTCCGCGTGGACGCCTTCCAACGTGATAGATCTCTCGCTGTTGCGAGATGGTACTGATTCATAAACTGCCGCGGCGAGGTCGGTCACCAGAGTGGAGTATGACAATTGAAGGGAGCGAGGAAGCAGGCTAATCAGGGGAGCGACTTCGTCGGAATGCAGACGAATGTCGACAAAGTCGTGGTTGAACGCCCACACATCGAGGAACAGGCGATCTGTGGCTTTCGAGAGTGCGGCCTCCTCGCTCGGTGACGTGATGTTGAATCGCAAGACTACTTGGTTCGCATATTGGCGAGAGATACTTTCGATGGGCGACGATTGACTGGTGTCCTTGGTTGGATGCTGGCCGAACACACGCTCGATGACATTATCGCGCAGTCGCGTTAAGTAGGGGAAGAGTCGGCGATCGCCAGTGTCTCGGTCGGTACTCGTAGAGCCGTAGGTCGCACGCTGAGATCGAATGTTGGCGGTGTTGGCGGATTGGAAGAGTGCCAGCAAGGCAACAACCGTCGTCGTGGCGAACCTCATACTTTGGTCCCGGGCACACCACACAATAACGGGGACGAGAGTAAGTGATGCTGTTGGGAACCGCTGGCTGCAACGGTGGATGGCGAAGATGCCGTTAACATCGATGGAGAGCGGATGAGTGGGGGGCGAAGAAAGTTGGCCAGGGCGCCAGGCAGTGCATTATCGTCTGAATCTTGTATCTGGCCAGTAGAAGCTCTAGATTCACAGGCGGAACGTTGAGCAGGTACGCCGGTACATGGCTGACGGGCAGGGGCCTGGGGCGGTACGAGCCTACGAGGGTCTGGAGGGGCTGGAGGGTGCTGGGCTCATGTGCATCAGGCCTAGGCGCAACCAAGGGTACGGGACTTGCGGAATAGTACGTAATCTAGCGTGCATGCTTCAGGCTCCCAGCCACCAGGGAGCCTGTAGATTGGCCGCGGGCACGGTCCCAAGCCCAGACATACCGCTGCCAGCCAGCGCGTTGGGGAGTTTGGGCCCTGGGCGACCCGCTAGCACCGGCCAGCCAGAGGCTAGGATCAATACCTTATGCTGCCCAGGCCATTAAATTTGGCGTCGGGCTGACTGGGCTTAGAATGGACATCCATCCATCCCCTGGAATCGCAGGTAATTATGGACATAGGTTAGGTAGAGAGGTAGCCTGTGGGTGTTAGTCCTGTCCTACCTCCCAGACAAGGTCAGGTAATAATCAAACGTCAAGCAGATGCGCGTCGTCCTTTGGTCCTACACCCATCTTCCAAACACCTGACTTTTTTTCCTGTCAACCCCCCAGCATCCTCCCGTCCAAACCCAGCCGACCGTCATCGATTGTCCGTTCGCGAGATCTCCTTTTCCCCAACTGGCTCGATGTTTCCCTCGAGCGCCTCGCATGCTTAGCCAGGCCCTGCGCCCAAGCCACCGCGACACCTCTCACCTCCTGCTCCCCTCCCGCCTCCGAATCCCGGGCTTAGGGGCGATAGCACGGAAGGGGGGGATACAACGGGCTAAGCAACACCGATAACTCTACAAGAGCTTTGCGGCAGACTATGACCATAGGCCTGCTGCGATGCCTTTTCTCCGTCGTCGTGGCAATGGATCCGGTGATCAAGAATTGCGCCGCCAGAACACCGTCAGCCGTATCTTCGACCGCTCGGAGCCTGGCCTCCCTCCCGCCAACCATCTCGCCGCTCCTGTTATCCAGGAGGATGAACAGATAGTCCAGACGCGGGCGGCGTCTATGAGCCAACGACCCGACACTCCTCCAATCCAAGAACAAACGAGCAAGCACAAGAGGTTCTCCGTGTTGAGGTTTCGCAATGCATCTGACTCGCAGCTTTCTCTGCGGGCCAAGCAGCAGGCCGAAAACCCACCTCCACCTGTCCCTCGTCGTCGTAAGCCTCCCTTCCGGACGGGCTACCTGCTCACGCTCGTGTGATCCAATGCTAACACTGGTTGATTTCGTACAGCCCCCGAGATCATTACCACCGCCCCAACTGGCGAGTTTGTCGGCCCCCGGAAGAAATCGTCACGTTTGAGTCTTGCTGCCAAGCTTCGGATTTCTCACGATTCTCCACGGCATTCAACCCTCAATGGCCCCCCAGCGTCGCGAAGCTTCGTCGATACTATCGGTGCTGAGCGTCGGCGTCTCTCTCTTGCTCCCTTGGAGGAGCCAGGCTCTCCTCGATCGTCATTGCAGCATAATCACACTTTCAATGGCACAATGGGGGCTCCGGGACCTTGGACACATCGACAGTCTGAGTCTTCCAGGTCTGATCTCAGCTCTGGTGACCGTGTCTCACAATCCAGTCCTTCGACTACGCCAAAGAAATCGCCAACATCCAGCACACTCTTCAAGTC